TGACGTTTTTTCTGCCTGTGTCTACCATTCACGTGACACTGATGTTTAAATACTACCTTCTTAGTGCTGATCTGAGGTTGTACAGAAACACTTTCTGCCAAAGTCTCACTTGTGCGTGAGGTGGGAGCTCGTTCTCCTGCGACCTGCAGGCCGGTGATTGCCACGCTCTCCTACTGCTGGTGAGCAACCATGGCACTCCAGTGGACAGCCACATATTCTCACTGAGCCATGTTGGATTGTGCAGTAATTAAAAAGTAATAAATCCTATTTAAATGTAGGGCATTCTGCCCTAACTCTCTGAGCACCTGTGGGTGTGAGCATCTTGCTCTCCGAGGCTGCTCCTGCTTGGTGTAAATGCACCAGCTTCATCAAAAGGATGCAGGAAATGCCAGCACCAGATATTATGAATTTCTTTTTTTTTTTTCTTAAATACGTTACTGATTGGTACATAGATGGCAAAAATTAATAGTAATGAACTAATTACCATACCAGCTGCCTACAAAGAGGAGTCCTGTAGGCAGGCTCCTTCTGCCCATTTGCCTGCTGGTAAAACCACCACTCCAGAAAACATAAAACACAACTTTTTTTTTCCCCTTTGTAAATGTCTATCAGCGTCACCTTTCCATGGCCCACAGCACCGACTCTGCCTAGCTTTTAAGTTCTCAAAATCCAGCCAGAATCTCCCCTAGCACATTGTAACACGTTTTACAGCTTGAGCGGGGCAAAACAGCCGTCTGCCAACACTGCTGGCTGCCCGGTCCACAGCCCCGGCGGGAGGACGAGGCCGGCTGCCTGCCCCTGTGTCTGCCAGCCCTTTGAAAAGCCAGCCCGCTTCCCTGATTGATTCTCTTTTTAATGAATGGGGGAAGCCTGTGAACTTAAACCCTGACACCTCCACCTCCCTCCCATCCTACCCATCCCTCCAGCAATGGCTCGATTATATTTCAAGTTATTATGGGATTAATACAGCTGCCCCGGGTGCCTCTTTCCCCTGAACTTCATCAATAAAAGCTGTGTACTGCTCTTACTCTGGCTGGTCCAGCTTCTGCCTGGATCTGCCTGTGATGCCTCATAAGGCTCTATCATATCAGCCCTTTAGTGCTGCCAACACTGCTGCTGGGTAAGGCCTGCTCATGTCATGGCCCCACATAAGCTGTGCATATTTAAGAGGACGTCTTGAGCTTTGCTGTGCACTGCATCAGCTCTGTAAGTGGGCAGCAGATACTTAGTACTACAGATAATAATGAAATAAGATAATCCATTAAAAAAATGCCAGTGTCATCTTGCTCAGGAACCATCACAGAGCTATGAAAAATCTTCTACATAGGCGCACCTTCAGTAGAAAGAAAGAAAAGGGGGGAGCAAAGACCTGGGCCCAGCATAACCCAATTTTTCCCCTGTAGTACTCCCTGATACAGTACAAGCTTTAGGCTTAATTTTTGGTGATGGCATTACAAGTTTCCTCCCCCCTCCCCCCCCAAGAATCCTATTTTCTAAAAATGTCATTAAAAATGTAATTAACCAGCTTATTCTTTGGAAAGTCTGCAGTTGTTTACAAAGGAATTGCCACGCAAGCTGCCACCTTCAACTGTGTTGCATTAGGAAGTTATGCTCTTGTTTACAACTGTGCATCAATTCCACAATATATTTGGTTTTGGTACAAGTTACATATAAAATTCTCACTGAGCTTAATGTTGCAGCAAATAACACATACAGTAAGTGAGTAGGATTTATCACTGGCTGTAATGTCACAGTACATATTCTAAGTATATACGGTGAGTGATATATGCACACACACATGCAAACAAAATGGAAATATATTTAGTTTAAGAAGTGATGAATTGTGTTTGCTTTCATTCTTCTCATTTTGCATGTAGGAGAATGGAGATCGAGCACATCCACAGAAGCGGCGGCTGGTTGGGCTTGCAAGCACACTGAGGAAGGAGCAGCTCAGTGCTTACCCATGGGGCGTCCCTTCAGAGGGAGCACGCATTGCAGCTGTGATATGCACAGAGCTGGTGGCACTCACTGGATGCTCCCAGAAGACAAACAGCATTGGTCCAGATCAAATGCCTCCCACAAGAAGTTCGGACTTCTTTCTTAGAGAAGTAAGTGGCAATCTTCCCCTTTTGATTCTTCTTTTCTTTTTCTTATGGTTTCTCTTGTAAATACAGAGGCCAGAAGGCCATGCTTAAAGAATTCATTTACAAACTTGCAATATTGTTTTGAACTATAGCAATTAAACAGAAAATAAAAAAATCAGTTCAGCATCCTGTTTGGATGTAATTAAAGGTATAATCTGTTCTATTTGAATACTTCAATGCTTACCCTTCTTAAAAAAACAAATAAGAATAGTAGCTCATTTGCAGTGTTTTTTTCCAACCCATCTAAAAAGACTAACTGATGAAGCAAGAATAATAATTTTTAAATGTGGCATAAGCACAGAAATATCAACTGCAGCTTTCAAATTATTGCTGCAGATCCCGAGCCTGATGAGAGCTCAATAACAAGGGGTATGAGCTTTATGGCAAAACACTGAAGTCTTCCACTATTTCCTATCAGCATCTTGATATGGCTGATATAATTACCTATCAAATACATCAGTGGAATGAATATCAGAGGATATAAAAAAATACGTAAGTCGGATGCATATCAGCTCAGTCTTTTAGGGGCTGTTTGATCTCAAGGTTTTTTTGTAAGAATAAAAGACCAATATGGCATTCATTGCCCTTTGTTTTCTATAAGCAGTGATGATTTTACAGCACAATAAAATTAGACTATTATTGGCTGGCTTATGAGTTCTAGCTGGATCTTTTTTCCTCCTACCGGACATTTCTTCACTGCTTCTCAAAGAAATTGAAGTCAGGTGTAAAGTTAATATCTGCCCTGTTCATTTATTCTTCTGTAAGTGATCAAGATTTCCCCAAATCACAGGGCAATCTCTTGCCTTCTGAGAATGAATATAGGCCCTATTCTCTCCATTTAGTTTAACAAAACAACTGGCAGAAGTTCAATGGAACCAATGATTATTCTTAGAGGTTACGGCAAACCACTGACGTTGTTAGCAAAAGGCTCCGTGTAAGATTCCCTAAGAGGAAAAGCGCATGGATATTTCAAAATGTAATTAACAGTGAATTCCAACAATGTGAAAAAGAAGCAGTGGCTGTACCGGCAGCAGAGGAACTTGGCTGCATGACATGGGCACTTTGGTGGCCGCTGCTCCCTTAAAAGCAGCAAGGGACAGGGCCAGCAGTGACAGTGATGGTGAGGAACATCAGGACTGGCCCCATCCATGCACGTTCCTCGTGTGTTGCTGCCTTTGCTATTGGACACAGTTAAATATATAGAAGTGACCAAGCATCCTATGAAGCAAAACACTTTTTATTATTTTCTTAACCATTAAGAATAGTCAGAATTTCAAACTCGGTCTTTTGTCAGCTGAGGCGAACTTCTAACAAGGCAGGCAGAAGACTTACACTGATAAATTGGCTGTCAGAACACAGGAGCAAAGGGTACAAAGTAGCGCAGTGCTCTTGGAGACCTGTTTAACCAGTCAATAGGAGAGAAGTTTAAGCTCAAAGTTTTACAGGTTACTAAAATTCCTGGCCTTTTGGGTGTGTGTGCCTTGCCCCTGCCCCCTTGCATGGCCCGTCCTGCAGTGCTGGGGATCCCAGGGCAACTTTCCTCCAGCCAGCCCAGCCTGGCACAGCCTCAGCCTTCCCTTCACTACAGTTCTGCTTTTCACACAGAAGCAATGAGAAGCTCCATTTAATAAAATAACAATTAAAAATGCAGCCCTCATAGTGCAAGGCTGTGGCTCACCCTTTAGCAGCAGCCAGAGGCAGGCAGGGGCGGGGAAGCACCATGTGACACCAAGACAGGCAAGGGCAAAACACGCAGCTATGGCTTCCGAACCCATCGAGCCGAACATCCTCCCTGCACACCAAGAGTGTTTTTGTGGATGTAACCAAAGGAAACACAACAACAGAACCTGGCTTGTCAAAAAATACCCACAGAGGGGGAGAGAAAAAATGAAAATCCTCAACACAGCCTCGTCTGTCTCCAGCAAACAGGGCTTTTTTCAGGCCCTGGGCTCAGGCGTGGGCCCAAGCCCCTGCGGGTGGTGTTATTGGCTGATGGCCTTGCTGGCTGCACAGAGGCTGAAGCACGGTCCTCTCCCTGCCCTCAGCACTGGCCGCCCCACAGCCCTCATGCCTCCCTGCTGCCACCCAGCCCAGCAGCCCCATGGGTGGCACACGGCTGTGTGACCGGGCCAGCCCCCCCGAGGAACATCTCTGAGACACCGCAAAACAAGCAACGCTTATCTCATGCATGCCACAGGTGTGATGTCATCCCCTCTGGCGAAAGAACGAGGATGTCTACAGCCTCCACTGTGCAAAAACACAGGAACTGAAGTTAATGTGCCTCAGACTTTGTTAAAATATGGTGATAATTAAGAAATATAATTACCACTACGAAGTTAATGCCTCTCTGAGTTCTTACAAACAACTTTTTAATTTGCACTGAGCATTTACATTGCAGATGCACAGTCAGCTGGGTGCGGGGCCGGCAGTGCTGCAGTCCATGTGCCATGGCCCACCTGGAGGGCAGGCGTGCAGGGGAGCCGTGTCAGACACACACTGCGTTCTATTAAGGAAAAAAAAAAGAAAGGAAAAAACTTACGAGGTAATTGATTGCTTTCTTCTAGTCTTTTATTAGTCGTGATTAAGGAGCTACAGTAGCCCTGTTTACACATCTCCAACAAGTCAGGACCTGCAGCACGTTATTGGCTTGCAGCCCACAACGCACAGTCCGTTCTCAGCAGCAGTGATCTGAAGTGGAACGGCCCTGCAGGAAGCGCGCATCCCTGCTCACACGGGGCAGGAGCAGCAGTAACGCTGCAGGCCCAGGGCTCAGCCCTGACTTGCCACTGCCCTGGGCACGCTCTGCGAGCAGGACACGGGGCCCGGGCAGGGACACAGCGAGCTCAATGCTGCTCTCAGCTCATGGACCGAACCGAGAGCTCCTCGCTGCTTAACATGCAGGCAAAGCACTGCCAATCTAAAATGGCTGATCAGTAATACTTTAATTGCAGTTTCATAGAAACAAATTGCTATTTAATTGCAATGAGCTCTTCTGTGGCTTCGCTGGACTGACAACAGGCATACACCTGGTACTGAAAAGCAACAAAGGCTCCCTGGTACTTCACGTACCGCAGGCACAGGAAGTGAAACCGGTCCTGGAACACGTCTCACACTGAAGAAACACAATACTCTGAAGGTATTTGACATATGTGTCCTGATCTCAATTTCAATTATTTCAACGGAGCTGTTCAGAACACAGGTAACTTGCACAAGGCCTGACATCTGATACCGGCCAAAGGATTTGGTAAAAAAAATAAAATTAAATGATCTTTTGAAATGCTTGGTAGCAACTCATACTACAGTAGTATCTGATTTATTTTATTTTATTTATTGTATTTCTCCTAGAATTAGATGATGCAAATTTTATCAGTGTTAACTAACGGGGAGAAAGGGAGACAAACTCAGTGTGGTTAATATTCCAAAGATGTGACTTAATTTCATAGGCTTCATTCTGGTAAGACATTCTCATTTTACATTTCGTAAGATACTGCATAACCTGTTAAAATATTTAAAGATAAATCATGTAGGACTGAAAAGACAGTATCTTGTTGCAAACAGAATTTGGTTTGGAAAGGCTTAATGTCCCACTGCCTGCCAGGATGCGTAAATCTCGTAACTAGACAGCTGGATAGGTAAAAACATTAAACCCATTTAGAGGGCAATCTTTTTACAAAATTGTTTCATTAATAAGAGTGACAATTTATATGATTGAGACGCTTAGATGCAGTACAGACAGAGCCTTTTATCCAGGTTCACTAGGATGATTTCAGATTAGTAATATTTCCTTTGATTTTTTTAACAGCATTCATTTTTGAAAGTGAGGGAAGCTCTTACTGATTATTTGTATGACTTTTCAGCAGCACTAAATGCAAGGAGTGTATTTCAGACTCAGCGTAGCAAATGCATGTGATAAAAGGTGAACAAGTACATGTTTCCTTTTACAGATCTCCTAAAAAAATTGATTTTTCACATAAGGACAAATCTAAGTGTTTCCAGTAGCCTTCCCCCCAGCGTCCCCATTAGAGCCTGTTTTATTGTCTGAAATGCCTCTGGTTTCAAGAAAGTGTTTTACCTAAAGGAAGAATACTACTTAAATATGTTCTATTGTATATTCATAGCTCCATTAGTCCTCCTCCAATTTAGCACATCAAAGCAAAGGCTTCATCACTTGCATGTGGATTATGCTAACATGAGTGACATTTGTAATCTTATAGGTCTGCAACTTAAGAAATGCTTTTAAAGTAAGCTATTAAAAAGGTAGCTGCGCTTTACAAACGAGTCATATAATAGTTTATTTAAAGCTGTTAATGAACTTCAACCTCTACATCACTAAATGCTATACTACATTACTTACTAGAAGTTATTAGGTATCTTCTTAGCACTTCTAGGTTACATTGGACAACCGAAAATCTGTACGTTAGATTTAACCGTGGTACCTTGAGTGCTTATACTGGAATAATATAAAAGATGCCTACAGACTCACTAATACTTGAATTTCACATTTGTATGATTTTGAGTGTCTTTTCAAAGACATTCCAGCCACACAATTTGCAAGACTCTTACCTAAAGACTGTAATGCAAGATCAAAAAGCTTAGAAACTTATTTTTAAAAATACATAAGTGCATTTAATTTAAAAAGTCATACATAGCTTCAGTAGTTTTATCACTTTATATGATATGTAAGTATTCTGTTATCTTTACTGTCCGTCACCGTACGTTATATCTTTTTCTTTTCTCTTCAACAGTCCTATTTTTGCCCAGGCAATGAAGTGCTAAAGGAAGAAATCCAAGAGACCTCACCACAGTAGGCCAAGAAATAGAATCTGAAACAAAATATATCTGCTTCTGGTTGTTTATACAGACAAATCTGCTTCTTATACACCAGCGTAACAACAAAAGTAAGTGAAGCTCACTCCATAACCAAACAAGCTACACCTTCTTGAAAACAGAATTTAAAAAGAAAACATAATCACACTGTATTTCAAATGCATTATTCTCCAATAAAAGTCAAACAGCTGGTAATGCTGATTTGCTATGAGTTGCAGCAGAGGCACCTTCTGGGTGCCCACAGTTCCCTGACTGAGGGCATACAGTGCATCATAGATTCATGTCACTGTTCTTGCTATAAATATGAAAAATGAGGATTTTTTTCTCAGAGTTGATCTGCACAGACCTGAAGGCCCACTGAACAAAGTTGCCCTCTTTCTAAGCTTAGAGAAAGTTGTCTTACTTTGGAGGGCGTTTTTTTTTCTTTGTTTCTGTCCTTCCAGAGAGCAGACCATAACTGCCATCAGTTTGTTCTTGGAAGTAACCCAGGAAGCTGATTTTTCTTTCCTTAAGATTATCAGTTTTGAAAGTTTCTTGCACAGCAAAGTCAAGTTTATTTTGTTCAGATCAGAACAGCTACTGTATTCCTCTTCATGAATGCTCAATTCACGTGCTCCGCATGAGGTACGCACCTTCTGTTGCTTTTATATTTATTATTATTTCCGGATCTCTTGAAGTGTGCTCATACACACTCATGCTTTCACACTCACACACACACACACCTCTAACACAGGCAGTTCTGCAGGAAGGAGCCAGATAGAAAGAGACCACAATACCTATAATGTGTACCACACTTCACTGCAATCTAAACTGTCATGTATTTGCTGTTATTAGAAGCAAGAATCTCAATGAAAAACTAAAGATCATTTTGAAGCAGCGCCTCCCTGTATCCACACCAAAATCAACACAGTAATTTAATAGGTTCTTTAGAGGCGTAAGACAAAACAAAAAGAGAACCCACCAAAAACCTCCAAACCAAAACCTTATTTTTAAAGGACACTGGCAATTAAGGTAATGACTTTGTTTCAGAGCACTATTTTGAGTGTAGTTTTGTTGTTTTTTTTTTTTTTTTTTAAGAAAAAACAGCAATGTTTCTAAAACCCAAACTCAATTCAGTGGTTTTTGTTTTACTTTTTATTATTTAAATACACCATACTAGAGCAAATGTCTCTGAAAATATCACAAATAAAAGATTTTTCTTCATTCAGCAAATTAGAAGTAGGTGAAAATTTCTACACAGTAGCTGCTATGAGCCTGAATTTTTTTTTTCCTTTTTCTCCTTTTTTTTTTTTTTGCCATGGGAAGTAGCAACATTAGGACAAAAACACTTACATGCATACATACATTGTATTTTACAGAGATACAATAAAAGTGTTTGTGATAGAATATCACAAAAGCCACATCTTTCCTTTATCTCATGTTCAGTTTGATTGAAACACATTTCCTTACAACACTTAAATATACAAAGAGCAAATAGAATGTTGTTAAGGTAAAACACAGGGTACAAACTGGCCAGTGCCCTGCTAATTGTTAATGAGGGTAGAAAGCAGATTTCAATGCTTCTTTTAATTAGCTTCATTAGTCATCTTCCCCACCCGCCCCCCCAAAGATGTCCTCCGGTGGATCTTTTTTCATTTTCTCTACAGTCTCCCATTAGCCCAGGTTCATGGAGTCCTTAATGTTCATATTCAGTCATTTTAATACACCAATAAATGTGGGAAGGGCAATCAAGAATAAAGAAGGTGCAATGGTATGGAGCTGGCACTGATGCTAGCTACAAAGGTGACTTGTCTACTTGGAGACATGGGATCCATCTGTGATGAACAAAATTTGAGATGAAGGCACGCATTCTGCAATACTCTGACCTTTTAGCAGACCTGCAAGAAATAAAAATGGGTATCTTAGCTAGAATACTAAATTTGAGATAGGAAACTACAACATGACTGCTTTTGTCTTTTCCTTATTCACTAATCTCTTTTTTATTAGATTACTTTCCAACTGTGACTTGATTAAGGCTTTCTACACTATCCATTCATAGTGCTAACGTTTCAACTTCAAATAGCAAAAAGCAAGCATTTTCTGCAGTATCACTACTAAGAAGAGCAGACAGTAAAGAATAAAGAGAGACGACAACAATAAATGTGTACTTTCTGGTAGCAAATCGTACGGTGAATAAGGTGGCTTTTCTGGGCCCCTTTTTAAAAGGGAAGAAACATTATGCCATGCCTTTGAAGAAGCCAGTAATATGATCTTATAATTGGAAGAAATAGCGTGTAAAGCAAATAAAAAGTACAGCCAATATCCTCCCAAGGCAACTTTGGTTAATATGCTGCATTGCATAAGAGCTAAATATAGATATTTCAGGATTTTTCCCCCCCATTTGAAATTCCTCATCTGGTGTGTTAGTTAATGTTACATAAACATTTTAATATATGAAGTCAAACATGTGCTCTCACACTGGTGTTAATGAATTGTGATAATTAAAAGTGTCTAAGTCGATAAAAATCTAAACTTTCCGGGACAAAATAGAAATGATCATCCATAGTCTTCAAATACAATCTGTTTGCAATTACCAAAATGAAATAATATATATGAGAATTTTATGGTTTTTAAATGACATTTTGTGCTTCCCAGGAAGTTCTTTTTCCACCCTTTCTCTAAGTTACTAAAAGCCTGAGGTCTATTAGTAACTGCAACCCCCCACTTTCAAGCTAATTAAAGTAGTAGAGGCTTGGAGGTTTAATTCCCCAGAGCTGAAGCTCAGTGTGAGAAAGGTAATTTGTCTGTCCAGAACAAAGATTAGGGAGCAGCCAGCAAGCATATTTAATAAATGAGCATCAAATATCTTCTACTATGGACACAGACAACACCAATTATGTAACTACAAGGGAATTGTTGAGTGATATGTAAACTAGAAGATTTTTCAGATCTTCTCTGAGAGATGTAATCTAACTCATACTTTATTTAAAAGTATAAGAGCTGAAGACAAGCCTTCGCTATGAACGCTGCCAGCCAGAGAATTTACACTTATAGTAGGTGGTAAGATTGTTGGCAAACAAGGGATGCTACAGGAAAACTGCCACTGTCAAAAACGCAGAGACAGTTCTCTGTGGAGGACAATATGACCTCAGCAAATAAAATGGCCCCCAGAACATCAGCATTGAGGACTGTGTTGTGCCGGCAAGCAGCGCCAAGCAGAGGTGAAATAGTGTTGTGGTGTTTGTTTTTTTCCAAGCAAGTGGTGAGAAACTACAACTTCCACGTGTGGATCAAATCGAGGAGGCAAAAGGCAGGAACAGCAGATGTTACTGCTTCGCCTCCTTAAAAAGAAAATCAAGTGCTGGAAGTTAGGCCATGCAACCTTTTCTGCCTGCACCCATCACCAATAAAAATAGGATTGTCTTCACGTTAACTTGTAAACCATAAGTTTGTAACTGTCACCTTCACAAACACAACAAAAATGTGTTTTATTGCAAGGAGTATGTCTCAATCTCTTCAACTTAATGAAAAAAAAAAACAAACCACCCTGTGATTATTCTGTTGTGTCTATAATCTCTAGTGGCAGAATAACCTGGAGACTGATTGATCTTTAATGTTTAATAAAGAGGATCTGTTACAGCCAACTCTGTCATAGTGGAAGAACATTTTTAATTACTGGCCCTAAAACACGCAGCTTTCTGGAAAACATCTGTGATGTTTGCATCTTCAGACTGTTAAAAAGCTAACACAAGAAATGCAATCTTTGTCACCTGCCCCTGCAGCTTCCATAACTGCAGACACCTGACAAACCTATGAATTACCAACTCGTCTCCTTGACTGTAATTCAGTTTTCTGAAATTCAGACGCTCCACAGTTCCCCTCGGAAAACCGGTAGGGGAACTTGGACCATTTCCTAGAGAGATTACATTATAAAAACAAAACAACCCTATCATCTCTCTCTCCAGTCTTCCCCAATACCTCTTTGCCTCATCCTTGACCGCAGCAACATGGTAAGTAGTGACAGAACTAATAAAAACCCGTTCTCAGTATCGTCTCTGCATTACCTTCTACTGGGAGGCTTCAGCTGTGAGCTCTGCAGGCCTAGCCCCACTTTACTGCTTTTCCATATTCTGCATTCCTCATCATGTCTACTGCTTTTATTCTAACTAAATCATTTCTGTGTTTTACTAACGCATAGTAAGAAACTGATAAAACTAAACGGCAATTTAGACACCTATTTGAAGTTACATTAAACTTTACATTCGCAGTAGACAAGTGGATAAACCACTCTCTCAGAATGGTAAAGCTTTTACTGCAGCATATAAAGATGAATGGTTTTACCCTGTATTTTGAAATGGGACACCTACAAATATTCATCTAATGGAGTCACTGTTAGCTATGCTGTATCAGAGACTTGTGTCATTAAAATTCACAACAGTATAAATCTATGAATCTTTAACTGTATTTGTACTTCCTTGAGAAGAGGCCACGCAGCTCTCCTCCAATCTTCATTATCTTCATTCTGCCCAACTATGTAGGACTTTTGTACCCATCTCTCTCATCACCTCAACTGACAAATTAGGCAAATAAAAAAGTCCACGTCTCATTTTGATGTAATTACATTCACTACATAAGACTTGAAAGAATGCTTAAAATTAATCAGCAAGTTTTTGCACAGAAAAAGAAGCAAACATGGATATTGAACTGCAGCAACAAAACAAGAAAAACACAGGACTTATAAACCAGTTTGTGTTTTCTTGTATAGATTTCTCCACTAAGTGAAAGTACTACCAATTATTCCACACGTGACAGAATAGGTAAGCCTAGCATTTGTCCCAGGTTTTTTCATCTTCAAAATTCCTATTTGCGGATAAATGTTATTTTTTGTGATCCTTACAGACATTAATGAAGTTCCTATTGTAAATCTATAAAGAATTACCAACTGAAGTGTGCACTTTTTGTTTCATTGCAATAACTCAGTGCTGTGTGATTGCCTGGGTTAATGATGAAAAAGTCAAATATACTATCAGAGCTGATGGAAAAATCTATCACCAATCTGAAATTAAAATTCATCTGTGGTCAATAAGATTTAATATCCATGCAAGTGGCGCTGTAAAGAGTAAATGAATCAATGTCATCAATACATAATCAGTATGAAATATGATGTGAATAAAATTATGTGCAGGAGTCATACATTCACTCTTTTCTGGACCAGGGTGGAATGAACAGTCTCTTAACTCAAGGCTGACAGTAATTGTTACAAATTAGGCACAGCAGTTATCAAAATGCACTCACTTGCATAGCTTTAGGACTTATTAAGGAGATTAAAATAGATCTAAAACTACCTCGTTTCAGAGTTACGGGACAACTGTTGATCAGAACTTTTTTTTTCTTCTTCTCTATATGATCCGTGCAGTCATTATTTACTCATTTAGGTACAAACCAAGAGCTATCAGCCACAGAGATACACGATCTCTAGCTGAGCTATTGTTGTTACGGAGCGATAAGAAAATAGCGCTTTAGTTTTTAAGTCTGAGTTATGACACAGAAAGCAGATGAGAAAATACTTCTGAAGGAGCTCCCCAGCATGCCTCCTCAACTGCAAACTTACACTGCTTTAGCTCAGGAATCTTCTCTTCACAAAACATTTATTTCCATATTAAAGGATGTAATTTTCCTCCCACAGAAACCTGCTCTCTTGTAGCCCTTAATTTCAAGACTGTAAAATAAAACGCTCCTCTTTGTTAAGTTTATGTTAACGTCTGCTCTCCATTCCACTTTGTATGTGAAGAGTTCAACAGCTGTACAGATACACATGCCCAAACCAAAATAAACTGACTCACTCTATATGTCATACTTAAAGGTTAGCATTTCCTCCCCATCCCCCATTCCTACGTTACTTAAGTTCGGTTACTTAAAGGTCTTGTTGCAGGGGTGGGAAATGTCCACTATTAAACTGAAAATAAATTGATCTTCATTTAACTCTAATAAAGCTTATTAGTAATTGTGGAGTATTCACCTTCTGGTCTGGCAGTAGTGGGTTACTCTGAAGTGAATTCAAATGGCCATTGATGAGAGCTGTAGGTCTATCATGTTCACAAAATAAACTGCCATTGATGTAGTGAAACCGATCTCCCGGGACCAGGCGATTCCGGCAGGTAGAGCATGTAAAACACTGAGAAAGGAAAGAGACAGCAAGTGAAACTACAGCACAAATTAAGTATGCTGCAGGTTTGAAAATTACACTTCAGAGACTGTGAGCACAGATGAGATATGAAGCTGCTTGGTCTCTAGCATCTCCGAACACGGCATTAGCCTTACCTGTTGGGACCACGCAGTTCATAACTCAAGTATAGTTTTACCGATTATGAGGGAACAAAGCTGCACACTGAGGGCAGCTTCATAACACACACTCGTATCTCTAGCTATTGCTTCACACTTCATTCATAAGTAGATGCAGATTTTACACTACGGAAGCACGGCAGTTCTAATCGGCTAATAAAAAAATATATAGAAAGCCTCTCACCTTCAGATGATAGACATTGCCCTGTGCCCTCATGACCAGCTCACTAGCAGGAATGGACTGTCCGCAGGCACTGCAAGCACCACTATTTCCAAATAACCTGAAACAGAGGTGATGATCATGAATAATTTAACACACAAGAGGCTCTAAGCATTTTTGCGCATCACTGCAATGGTTTATTACACAACTGTTTTAGACTTCTGACCCGTCTTCCAACTTGCTTACATGCTGTAATATGAAAAAGTGTATTTTTGTCTAACAACTGGTAGCTTCACCCTACCTTGGATGTGGTTACACAGGATTTAATCAGAAATATTGACTTACACCTCAAGAAACACAAACAATTCTGTACTACACACATTTTATCAGATTACCGGGTTCATCATAAAAAAAAAGATACAATTCATGACTGGAGTTTAAATGCATTGTGTCCTTGAAATTATATGAAGAACTCTTTTGTACTTTAATCATATCTTGAGATATGAGTCATCAAAAGGGTTAAGAGGATTTGATTGTATATCTAAGAAGACATCATGCTCAGTGTATTGAAACTCCAGTAAACCTCCATCAGTGCAGAGTTTCCATTAGAAACTCTCTGCTATCCAGGTTGATATATAATGTGTATGGGTTAACCTTTTCAATCATGGTGTCAACACTTTAGATTTGCCTCTGCTCATCTCTTTCATCCTAACCTTCTCTCTCTCTTGATAATGAAATGCTTGCTCCAACTTCCCTCTATCTGCTCCTGAGTCCACAATTTAGATTACTTCATCTCTGCTAGCAACAAACTGAATGAAATTTCGATTTGAGCAGAAAGTAATTTACCGGGATCTGGACCCATTTGTCATCATATCTCTCTGGGTGTTTGCTGTATCACTGCAGTTTTCCTATGCAATCAAATGAGACCACAACATCTGCCATTGGGTTGGGGGGGCACAGGCAGCGGGGGGAGGGGGGAGTAGGCAGAAGAGTGGTGAAGAAAAATATATACATAATTCTTCAAATCCATTTAAAGGCACAACACATCGATTCAAAATATAATACAATAATGATTATTGAGTTCTACTTTTCCTGACTGCATTAGCTAGAATTAGAAAAGCTTTATTTGCTTTCCGTGCGTCCCTCTAACATGCACAAATATTTAGAAAGAGTACCACACTCATTTCACAGTAAAAAAGGAAACCAAACTGGATGGCAGGGTCACAGACCCGCTTTTCTGCACGATGTAAAACACGGTAATAGGATTTACAAATTAGCGTATTGGTGTCATAATAAATATTAATATTTGCATCTCCTTCCTGTCCAAATAAAGTCATAAAATTTTGTTTGTGTCAACCTCGGAGACGCGTTACAACAGAATACCCGTAATCTGAATGATTGCAGTGTGCCTCTGTATAAAAATAATTGCTTTGAATTTTCAGAATCTGAGCTTGCAGAGGAGGCTTGTCATGTTCAAACTACTAATTTGCTGTCGCCACTTTATTGAAAATAGCCTGTAAGTTGTTATTAAATGTATCGACTGAACGACAGAGAGAGTAGTAAAACTGCCCCTTAAGATGGCTTTTAATAGGAAGCTGAGAAACAAATTTTGCAGCAGCATCGATTTGAAGAGTTCAATCAAAACTCCATTTCAAAACTAATTAGTCTGAGATCCACGACACATTGACACGTTCTTGCAGAATCACAGCGGTTACAAAGGGAAAGCTGAACTAATACATTGTCAGGACCTCCAGCCAAAAGGACTACACTGTCTAGAAACGAAGGGTCCATTATTAGGGCATCTTCTAAAGCAGGAACACTTCCGAGCAGTTGCACGATGCACTCAGGTGCATCCTCCTTCCAGCAGAAGGAGGCTGCGAGATGCTGCCACGTTTCTAGAACAAAGATCCAAAAATCTAGGGCATTGGGTGATGACAAGGGCACTTCGGTCAGGGTGGGCGGAAAGGCAAAGCCCTGCAGGTGAGCAGCCAGTGCCACTTGTCCTAAGAACACAAGCAGTGTCACTGGGCACAAAGCCCCTGTGCAAGCACACCGCCCGCCTGAACACACGGCCCCCGGAACGCTGATCTCACTGCAATGCTTGTCTTCATTAAGCATTCACTTGTTATACAACGCGCTCTGACTAGCAGTGGTTGTACACCTTGAATGTCTGTGCATTTTAATACACGGAGCCAAACTAATTCTGAAGCTTTTCCCGGGTTTTCCCCACGCGTGTTTCCAGAACAGCTCCGCTTTGGGAGGCTGCTGCAGTTGAATCTTCCGCTGACGTTCCTGAAAATTACTCGCAGTGAGAACACCTTCCAGTGCTCTGCATTATTAACTAGGACAATAAAGTTTATTTTTCCTTCTGTATTGTTATAGATGCTTTTGTTTTCTGATATCATTAACAGGAAAAAGGTTTTATCTTTAAAAATAAATATTTTTCCTTCTTACCAGTAAAGGAAGTCCACCTCTGTAACTATTCTTTACTGAGAAGTTGTTTCACATGGCTTCTAAGCGGCTGGAGAGCTAATTATCTAACCGGGGGGACCGTCCAGGACAGTATTTGATTTAAAAGGCTGCAGGCTTTAGGTGCTCAATTAAGTAGCTATCGGTCTCAGACTGGACTTTAATGGGCTCTTTTCTCTTTAACTGCAGCAATGGGTAGAGATACCCCAGGTCAGGCTAATTAAAGCCAGGGGACTCTTTAATTGTGATGACAGAATTGGTTTCAGTTTCCTCTTTGGGTCCTCAGTCCAAGAAGGTCATTAATATTTCAACATTTGGGCAATGCAATCAATCACAAACATCAAGAGCTTCCCTATAAGGACAAGGCAGCTCTTCTACACTTAACAGCCCTTTACCGAGCCACCTTAAATTGACTACCGTGGAGTTCCAGCTTTGCACTCCCCACATCCAAATACACACACACTCTCCTAATTTTTTTCCATAACCTTCACAAGAGTGGGAATGAAGGCAGCCAGAAACATTCCCAGCCCAACCTTTCACCTCTTGGCACTCAAAATTCACTATCAGTAGGAGCACATCTCATGCAACTTACACCAACAAAACAAGGTTCCGGTTGGTTCCAAAATCGTGGAGGTAATCAGACTTAGCAGCTCCAGAACCCACACAGCTCAGCGCCTGTTGTGCCCACAGAATTACACCCAAGCCCTACCAGAGAGAAACGCACATCCAGACCCACTGATCCAGAAGCGATTGGTGTTTCTGTACATTCCCCACATTTAATCTAAATTCTGCAACAGCGATATTAAATATAACAAAGAAAGGCAACACAGAAACCAGCCTGGAGCCAAGTCCATTAAAGGTACTTCAGAATAACTGGAGACCAAGCACCTTAAAAGCACCAGAAGCTATTGATACTTAAAAGGGGGGCTGTGCATAATGGCAAGTGCTGCATTAGAGAAGGGGAAGGAAAAAAAAAAAAACAGCCAAATTACGCTTGGTTAATTCAGAGTAACAGATCTGCCCCCAAGTGAATTGGAGGCCTTGAATTAATTCTGTTATGACAAATCAAGATAAACGTTCCCCCTAAATTGCATGCGATTTAATTAATTTTTGAGATCCTGGGTTTTTTTTTTTCCTAGCTAATAGTTCACATGCTCCTGTGCTGTCATTGTGCTTGAGTGGGCAGACTTCAAAGTGATATTAAATAACCAACTATTAGATTTACCTAGCACGTCCTATTGGAAAAGTGCCATTTAATTACCTAGCCTGTTCAATTAAAGGGACAGCACTCCCCGAATATAGCAGCTTGCCGCTGATTACCAGCGAAATGAACTCGCTGCTCGGCGGCCCCCTCCCCGGCCCAGCTCGGCCCTGCAGCCGCCCCGCCGCCCCGGTCCCCCCGCAGCCCCGGCCGGGCAGGGCCGGCAGCGCCGCGCCCACGGCGCGCTCCGGGCGGGCGGGTGGGGAGGGGCCGGGCCGGGCCGCGGGCGCTGCCCCTTTAAGACGCGGCCGGGCAGCCCCCCCCCCCCCCCCCCCCCCCCCCCCCCCCCCCCCCCCCCCCCCCCCCCCCCCCCCCCCC